GACAGAACTCTCAGGACAGCGCCCCCTGTGGACAGAACTCTCAGGACAGAGACTGTTCCTAAGAACAAGAGGCAAAGTTGAGCAGACAGGGCAGGCTCTGAGGGGCTGTCCCAGCTGAGGAATATGGGGAGACAGGAGGGTACAGACTTGCCCTCCTCCCCAGGGCAGGGCTGCTGATTTCCTGGCTGAGGCCTCCACATTCATGTCCCCTTCCCCTGCGGCCGGCAGCAGGAGGCAGCTCACAGCAGCGTTGCTGAGGACTGTCCCTGTGAGGCAGCCAGTGCAAAGGCCTGTGGTGCAGATTTTGAACAATGAGATGCAGCGGGGCAGGTGTCGTGATGCGACCTCTAAGAGGGAGCTGTGGTAGAGTCTGTGGACATCAAATACAATATGGAACAAAACTAGAAGGAAGTCAGAGCTGGCAGTTGGACCGAAGGGTAGCAGTGCCATCTCATTTAAGTCCTGGAGATATCATTACCCCATACTAAGGATGAGAAAGTGAGACTCGGAGGGTCCAGCTGATTCACCCTAATTAGCTTTGCCTGTCAGCCTGACACAGCCTAGAGTCACCTGAGAAGCGAGTCACAAATGAGGACTTGCCCAGACCAGGTTTGCCTGTGTGCATGTCTGTGGGATGTTGTGTTGATTGATAGTTGACATAGGCAGCCTGGTCGACCGTGGGCGGCACCATCCCCCAGGTCAGTGGTCCTGGCTTGTATAAGAAAGCTAGCCGAGAAGAAGCCTGTGCGCTACAGAAAGCAGCACCCTCCATGGTTTCTGCTCTACTTCCTTGGCTTTGAGTTAGCTCCTGCGTTGATTTCCCTCAGTGATGGTCTGTAACCTGTAAGCGAAATCAAGCCTTTCCTCCTGTAAGCTGCATCTGGGCTGGGCATTTTATCAAAGTTACAGAGAGGAAGTGAGAAAACCCTCCTCAAGCTTATCAGCCCCCATGGGTCTCTCCTCCACCAACACTGTGACCATGTTCCAATGTGCGTCCCACACGGGGTGTGTGTGGGGTTGTGTGTGTGTGGTGTGTGTGTTCACATGTATGAGTGAGGGCTTGTATGTGTGCAGATGCATGTGTGGGTGTGGGTGGAGACCAGAGACTGACACCTGCTGCCTTCCCCAAGCCCCTTTATTTAATGAACCAGAATCCATCCCTGAACCTAGAGCTCACCACTTTGGCTGTCTAGTTGGGGTGGCCGAGGGGCCTTCCTGTCTCTGCTTCCCAAACAGTGGCTTAACAGGTGGGCTGGTATGCCCACCTGGATTTTGCTTGGGTGTGGGGGATCACCATGTATGTGTGATGGGTTTGGGGCAGGGTCTTATTACGCAGCCCTAGCCAGCCTGGTACACTTGAAGCAATCCTCCTGCCCCTGAGTGTGGTGGTGACTTGTTGTTCCTGCTGCCACACTAAGCTTCTAGTCACATGTTTTTATCATCTCCTCCATGCCTGTTGGTAGCATCCAACTTTTCTTTCTTTCTTTTTCTTTTTCTTCTTTTTTTTGAGACAGGGTTTCTCTGGGTAGCTTTGCGCCTTTCCTGGAACTCACTCTGTAGCCCAGGCTGGCCTCGAACTCACGGAGATCCACCTGGCTCTGCCTCCGGAGTGCTGGGATTAAAGGCGTGCACCACCACCGCCCGGCTCATCCAACTTTTCTAATAGAATGTCACATTTCCAGAGCCACAGTGAACAGGGCTCTTTTTTTTTTCTTTAAGACCAAGTCTCACTATGTAGCTCTAGCTGGCCTGGCACTCTCTGTGTAGATCAGGCTGCCTCAGACTCATAGAAATGTACCTCCCTCTGCCTTTAGAGTGCTGGGATTAAAGACATGCGCCATTCAGCGCAATGATAGGATCTTTGTTTTAAAAAAATCATTTTTATTTCATGTGCATTGGTGTTTTGCCTACATGTGTATCTGTGTGAGGTTGTTGGGTCCTCTATGTGAGGGTGTTGGATCTCCTGGAACTAGAGTTACAGACAGTTACGAGCTGCCGTGTAGGTGCTGGGAGTTGAACCCAGGTTCCTTGGAAGAGCAGCCAGTGCTCTTAACTGAGCCATCACTCCAGCCCCAACTGGATCTTTTTTTTTTTTTTTTTGAGCTGAGAATCGAACCCAGGGCCTTGAGCTTGCTAGGCAAGCCCTCTACCACTGAGCTAAATCCCCAACCCCCCGACTGGATCTTATGTAGCTCATGCTAGCCTCAAATTTGATATCTAGCTAAGGTTGACCTGGAACCCCTGATTCTCATGCCTCTGCTTCTACCTCCCAAGTGCTGGGATTACATCCATGTGCCACTACATGCAGTCTATGCTGTCCTGAGTCAGGCACGGTGCTTCATGCACACAGGGCAAGCGCTCTACCAGCCCTGCCCCCAGTGTTTCCTTTCCTTTTTTAATTTCTCTTTTCTTTTTGAAACAACTCTCACTGTGCGTTCTAGGCTGTCCTTGAATTCATGATCCTACTACCTCAGCATCCAGAGAGCTGAGATTACAGGCGCACAGCCACACTGTTACTGTGCATTTTACACCTAAAGCTGGATTGGGTGTGGTAGCGCACGCCTTTAACCCCCAGCACTCCAGAGGCAAAGGCAGGTGGATCTCTGTGAGTCTGAGGCCAGCCTGGTCTACACAGTAAGTTCCAGGGCAGCCAGAGCTACGTAGTGAGACCCTACCTCAAACAAACAAAACCCTCAGCTCTGGCCTTGCAGTCCCCTCCTTTCTGGCACCCTAATCACGGCTCTGGTGTCCCTTGCCAGGTCTCCATCTGTTCATATGGCTGTCACCTTCAGCAGTATGGAGCTCCTCCAGACAGGATGGGTTGTCCCTAGTCCTAGGGGTCTTGACTGCTTCCTATCTGTCACAGGAACATGAGGCTCAGAAGGAGAAAGCAGACAGCTGTACCTCTGCCCTCAGCCCCTGGTCCTGTTGCCACTGTCCTGTCCTAAGCTCAGCAGGTGATCTCAACCCCTCGGCTCCCAGCCTCATCCCTCACCTATGACCCATACCCCATTTCCACGAGTGACTGTCACCCACCCAAGGCCTTTTGCACTAAGACCCTCTGCCGCCAGTACCCGTGACCCTACCTACCCCAGCGAGGGCTCCGATCCTGTTTCCGTAGCAGACATTCTGGTTCCAGATGTGGGGCTCCTTTTTTTAGCTAGGCTCTCTCTTGCCTCTGCTGATCCTTCTAGGTGGGACCACAGTAGGGCCACACTACCCTAGCAGTGCAGGCCTGAGCTCTAACAGATGGTGGGTGGGGCAGCCGCCTCCTAAATCCCACACTCTCCCTCTGCACTGCCTCCCGGGTACAGCTATAGGGAACCGGAATGGCAGGCTGTGCAGGCTTCTCTGTGGGTCTGAATGTTCTGGAGAGGCTGACAGGAAGTTAGCAGTGGGGAGAAAAGTCATGGGGGTTGGAGGTGAAAACAAACCTCCTCAGTTCCCTGACAGCCCCTCCAGGTCCCTCCAGGAAGCCTCCACAGGCTAAATCTTCTCCATCCTCTCTCACACACAATCAGGGTGTCCCTGTCTAGAAGAGAAATTGTGGTACTTTTATTTGCACTCGCCTGTGACCAAATGACACAGGGGACAGAGGAAGGGGCACTGACGGTTGTAGAGGACACTCTGCAGGCAGGGGAATTGCTCCAGTGGGGGAATGTCACTCATGTCTGCATTTCCTATTTACTGTGTGATCCTAGTCAAGTTACCTACCCTCTCTAAGCTTAATGTCATATATATATATATATATATATATATATATATATATATATATATATATAATTTTTCATGTTTTGCCTGCATGTATATATGTGTACCATGTTGCATTCCTGGTGTCCGCAGAGGCCAGAAGAAGGCATCAGATACCCTGGAACTGGAGTTACAGATGGTGTGAGATGCCATCTGAGTGCTAGGAACTAAGCCCAGGTCCTCTGGAAGAGCAGTCAGTGCTGGTAACCACTGAGCCATCTCTCCAGCCCTTATCATCATGAGAGTTTTGAGACTGTCCTGGGAGTGGGAAGACAGGATCTCAGCTTCTGGCACAAGTCAGTGTTTCTGGGGCTGGGGCACCGGTGGATCCCAGTGTCTCTGTGAACACTCACTGAGATTCTTCTCCTCGGGTCGGAGAAGCAGGAGACTGAGCTCAGGCCCTGCTGCTGTCTCTCACTGATGGCCAGACCCTGTCCCCACCCTCCCCGACCGGCATCAATACACCCCCAGTTCAGGGATGCAGAGAGGGTGTCTCTGGGCCAGCAAGTGTCTGCCATAACCCTTCCTTGTGGTTGGATCTGAGTCAGGGGGAGCCACAGCACACTACAAACCCCTGACCCCTGAATCTTTGCTAGTTTTAGAGCTAAATGCCCAATGTGGGCCCAGGAAGGGAGCACAGTGCGAGCCAGGGGGCCAGAGGATGGTGTCTCAGGGGTGGCCTTGCCTAAGAGCAGCAGGAGGGTCCCAGAGATGATTTCCCATGCCCAGTTGTGAAGCTAGACAGTGTGCAGGCTACAGGCTGTGTGAATCCTAACTCAGTAGAGCTGCCATCTCAAGAAAACTAAACCATGGAGGAACCCACACAGCCTGTGAATAAAATATCCCAGATCCCAACAGCAGTGGGCAGAGCGTGAAATCAAATCATTAAGAAGCTTCCTGGACCCTGCTCTGTCCTGTCCTGGGGCTGCTGTGACAAATGACTCCAAGTGGATGAGAGAGCAGAGCTGTGTTCTCTCACAACACTGAAGAGAGAAATCCACAATGGAGCCAAGTAGGGTGGCTCACATGTGTAGCTCCAGTCCTCACGCAGCTGAGCCAGGAGCATTGCCATGAGTTCAAGGACAGGCTGGTCTACCTACTGAGACCCTATCTCAGACAAGAAAAAGTAAATAAAAATATGCTGAGGCCCTGATCCCTAAAAGCCTGTGGGGGAGGGGCCCCTTGCTTCTTCCAGCTCCAGGTGACTGTCAAGAATCCTGGTTTACAGCCACACCACCTTGGTCTCCTCCTATCTTTACTTAACCTTTGTCTCAGGACACAGCTAATCCTGTCTCTGTCTTGTCTCAGAACACATCAGCCCAGCCCCCCTTTCTCTTTCAGCAATCCTGGCCTCCCACATGCTTGGCAAATAGTCTACCATGGAGCTACTCCCTGCCCCCTGCTTCGCTCTTATTAGGCTCCTGAGACGGAAGTTAGCACCATGTGGATGACCCTCTCACCGAGATCCTTAGCTCCATCAGAAGTTGTGGGGGAGGGAACTGTGGCAACATTCCCGCCGGGATGCCTGGCCCGCCTCCAGAGAGCAGCACCTAGCCCCAATCCATCTTTAAAAGTTCAGCAGATACCCTTGGTTTCTCTTGTGGCCAGATGGGAATCTTGTCTGAGAGTCTCCCAAGGATACGAGCCTATGCAAAACCTTGGTTCAGGAAACCCAGAAAACTGTGGTACCTGATGAATCGGATGAATCGAGAAATTTGCGCTTGGCATTGTATTTTTGGAGGCTTCATTCAGGTTGTTTTGAGCGTATGGAAATGAACTGGCTAAAGTGTAAATACAGAGAAAAATAAAAATGCTGTGGGAAAAGGGAAAGTGTTCAGTCATTAGAGACCGGAGCCCCCTGCAGCCAAGAAAGGCTAGATTCATTCTTAAGGTGCCTCTGAGTTTTCTTTCCCCGGATCTGTGTGAACTCACACCCCTGTTGTTATGAATTATTATGTCGGGGCCCCGTGGGTATCCCGAGTGTGCAGGGAAACATGCTGGGCAGATGCAGCTGCAGGCTGGGCAGATGCCCGCCATGCGGGTATGACAGCTGCAGCAGCCAGGAATTCACAGCCCAGACGCTGCATCCACATGGAGAGTTTATTATACTAGAGAGAGAAAGAGGCAGAGAGACAGAAAGAGGGAGACAGAGAGAGAGAGAGAGAGAGAGAGAGAGAGAGACAGAGAGAGAGAGAGAGAGAGAGAGAGAGAGAGAGAGAGGGAGGAAGGGGGAGGTGCACACCTCATGGGAGGAAAAGCAGGAGAGAGAGAGAGAAAGGGGCAGAGTTTTTCCTTAAAAAGAGGCTTCTACATTAGGACACCGGGCAGCCCCAAAGGTCAGGATCAGAACATTAACATTTCTCCATTTTGATTAATATAAAAAGAGGTGAGTTAGGGGAGCAAGTGGGGGAACAAGGGCACCGAATTCCCAAGGCCACTTCAAGGGGCAAAGTGGGGGGGAAGCCGGGAGTCACTCACGGTGGAAGGCCTGAGTGAAGAAGCGGTGTTAGCTGTCATCGTGGAAATCTCTGGTGTGGAGATCTCAGGTGTCTGCTCCTTGAGGTTGCTGGGAGAAAAAACAGATGGTTATCGTTGGCCTTAGGAGCTGTGCTAGCCATGGGTAGAGTGATAACTGCCAGAAAGAATGGAACAGGGAAGGGCCCTGGTTGTACAGAAGAGACTCGAGAGCAGGCATGCCCTTCGTTGGGACGTCTTGGAAAACCAGGTTCCAGTAGCTGGGCAGGTGCCCGCCTGAGCCTGGAGAGGTGGCACCAGCAGTGAATTGAGGGATGTGTTCTTCAGGATGGTAGGAGCCATCACATCTGTCATTTCATTGGAGGTGGGGGTGCTTCCATCCCAGTGGGTGTCCTTGGCTGGGGGTTGGCATCCTGGGAGCTGGTGCCAGCTGGTGCAGGGGCTGGCACATCTGGAGAGCTCCTTGGCCCAGGCAGGAGGAGGGAGACTGCAAAGGTTTTCAAATATGGGTGAGGTTAAGGTGGGCTCTGGAGACTGCTAGGATTGGTTAGACCAGATGCAGTAGCAGAACTTTTCCCAGGGACTTATAGGTATCTGTAAGACAGTGGACTAGATTTACATCATAGCAAGAGGGTTGAAAATCCATAGACATTTAAGGACTCTTAAGAATTGTTTGGGTTGGGGATTGAGCTCAGTGGTAGAAGCCCTGGGTTTGATCCTCAGCTAAAAAAAAAAAAAAAAAAAAAAAAAATCTTCTTAGCCAGGAGGTGGTGGCGCAGGCCTTTAATCCCAGCACGCCGGAGGCAGAGCCAGGCGGATCTCTGTGAGTTCGAGGCCAGCCTGGGCTACAAAGTTCCAGGACAGATTCCAAAACTACATAGAGAAACCCTGTCTCAAAAAAAAAAAAAAAAAAAAAGAACTGTTTGTAGTCAATGCTGTATCATTTTATCAAAGCTGCATTTATGAACCTCTGGAGTTATATCTGAAACCAGTCTATCTGTACCATGAAGTCTGTGAATGAGGTATAGCTGTCTTTAATTTTTTTTAAGAGAACATATTTTTTTTTTAAAGATTTATTTATTTATTATGTATGCTACAGTGTTCTGTTTGCATGTATCCCTGCAGGCCAGAAGAGGGAGCCAGATCTCACTACAGATGGTTGTGAGCCACCATGTGGGTGCTGGGAATTGAACTCAGGACCTCTGGAAGAACTGCCAGTGTTCTTAACCTCTGAGCCATCTCTCCAGCCCGCTGTCTTTAATTTTAATAGGAAACTTATTAATGAACTGTCAGTAATCTTGGAATTGGAGCTGTCAAACTGATACACCCTAGTTACCAAACATCGTCAGATCTGAGAAGGATAAATTTAAGAAGTGAGACAGCTTTCCAGCTGTCTAGGCAGCAATTTCAAGTCTCTCTGAGGTCACTGGGGGACAGAGGTCCCAAAGGTAGCATTTGTTCAGCTGATAGGCCCAGAAAATCTGACAGATTTTTCTGTGGAGCAGGAATTTGGGGAGGTCGGTGGTACTATCTGTTTTGGCAGAGAGAACAATCGATCCTTGTTGCTCCTCTTTATTCATGGTCTGGACAGGATCTCAGCTTTCTGCTGCATGGCTGGCCTTGTCGTAAGCTTCCAGGTGAAGGTTCTACAGCCATTTTTCTTCTTGGAGATGATACAGGATGCTGCAGCTGGGAGCTGACATGTCTCTTTAACATAAAACGCCTTCATATTAAATACCATGTTCTCAGATCTCTACGGGTGTTTGAGGATGGGGGAACAAAATCTGTTAGATGAATTTATAACTTTGAGAGCATGTATATGACTTAAATCTGAATATACATGCTTCCCAGTTAGTTACAGCTTAATGAAGTTAGCAAGGACAGGGGGCATAACCTTTGAGTACAGCCAGATTATAATCCTGAATGACTTATATAGAAATACTTATTTCTTTACTTTTTAAATTTTTTTTAATTTTTTAATTTATTTTTTTTTTCAGTTTTGGTGTTTTGTCTGAATGTATGTCTATATATAATGTGCGTGTGGTACTGGGTGGAGGCCAGATGGAGCATTGGGCGCCCCCCAGAACTGGAGTTACAGACAGTGGTGAGCTGCCATGTGGGTGCTGGGAATTGAACCCAGGAAATACTTATTTCTTAAGCTGTCTCCTGAGAAGGCAAAGAAGAGTGACAGGGAAAGATCCCAAGGCTGAATGAGAACAGGAGAAAGGGGCTGGTGAGTCAGGGTGCAGCCCAACTCTGAGAAAAGGGAAAAGACCCTCTTGGTGGAACAGAAACTCCATCCTGAAGAAATAATAATTCCTTAAGGTCATACAATACCTCCCTGGTTCTGTATAAAGAAGGTCAAGTGTCTTATATTAATGCAGAACCATTTTAATTAATAAATATCAATGGGCATTAGATAGCCCATCAGTTGTCGATGCCAGGGGATTTTCATCCCTAACCTAGCCCTCCAGCCTGTCCTGGGAACAGGGAGCACAGGGCGATGTATTCTCCATAGCTGCTTCAAGCTGAACCAGGGTGCAGGTGTTTAGGACCCAGGCAACGGGTTACTTGTCAGAAGCCCATGGTCCTCTGACCTGGCTGTAGAGGCCCGGGTCAATCACGTTTGGCTGTGGACCACATCACACAGGCCGGAACCTCTGTTGGCATCCGCGGCAGGGAAAGCGCCGCAGGTTCCGTAACTGCTGCTGGATGTTTCTGCCAGCCTGCTGGAATATAGACTAGAGATGGGAGATAAAATTTTATGAATTTATTTGGAGCCTTCAGGCTTGTAGTTTTGTAATTGGAGACCAGGAGAGAAAAATGTCATCCTCAGGAATAGACACGCGAGAAAGACTCCTGAACTCGAGCAGAGATGGGACGTCTGAAAAGCAGCAGTAGACTTGATACCTATAGGTTTAAAATCCTGAGCTTGTCACTCAAATAGCATCAGAATTGTATTAATGTCAAAATCTGAAATTTAAAATCTTAAGATTAGTGCTGCTACCCTATCCCAGCATAGGAGCGTGCTTTCCCCGCCCACCCGAGTGGCTGGGGAGGAAGGAATGCAAGCCGGGACGGAACTTCCCTCTGCCCAGATGGCTGCAGCCTGAGAGAGGCGGCTGGGGAACACCAGGCCAAGGCTAGAGGACTTTTCCTCGGCCGTAAAACAATGGTGAAACTGTGTGGAGGAGGCAATTCCCTAACCTCCTTCCTTACCGTCAGCCTGAGTGCCAGGCGCCCCACCCACGCTGCCCTTAGTAAAGATGGCGACGAGGTCATATGACCTGCCTGTTCTGACCTTAGCCAAGATGGCAGCTAGACCATGTGGTTGCCCTTATTTAAGATGGTGCAGCCCGATCACGTGATTGCCCTATCCCGTATGGCAGCTGGGCACATGGCCATGTGATTTTTTTTTTGTTTTGTTTTGTTTTGTTTTTTGTCAAGACAAACTGAACAGATAAGGAACAGATAAAGTGAAGCATTTAAAAGTTAGTCAGAGCTAGGCATGGTGGCGCACGCCTTTGGTCCCAGTACTCAGGAGGCAGAGGCAGCTGGGTCTCTGAGTTCGAGGCCAGCCTGGGCTACAGAGTGAGTTCCAGGACAGCCAGGGCTGTTACACAGAGAAACCCTGTCTCAAAAACAAACAAACCGAAAGTTAGTCGGAAACAAGTGAATGTGGCCATCTCCCAAGCCCCAGCAGGAGAGGAAGGGGGCTGCCAGAGGAGGACGTGCAGGGGCCTGAGCAGTGGCGGAGCCGCCGGTGGAGTTCAGCCTGCCATGGAGGTGGAGGCAGAAATAGTCAGGTGACCAGATATTTGTGTGGCAAGTCCCCAGGGGGCCTGAAGGGGGGTGGGGTGGGGGAGAAGGGGCCGGGCAGCCAGTGGGGCGGGGCTCAGGGCTGTGCGCCAAACAGGAGGTTTTGATAACAGAGTCAAAGCAACCGAGAGAAAAGATTAAGACAAGGAGAGGAATTAGAGGCAGGGACAGGCAAAGACAGCGAGCTTTGCCTGGTGGGCAATTTCTCATGGTGCGCAAAGGAACCCGGTGACCGGTGATGACGTAATTGCTTAGTGGAGGCCTGTAGGGGCGGGGGTGGGGTGGGGTGTAGGTGACGGGGAGGGGGCTGGGAGTGGGTAGGCATATTTTTCCACAATGAGGTATAACGGTGCAATTTAGTCGATGGACTGTCGTCCCGGAGGCTCTGGGCCATGGAATTGAGGGGGCACAGGCCGCCCCCGTCGCATAGGGACCGGGGCTGAGGGGCTATGAGCCCAAAAGACAGGTGGTGCCAGCGAGAGAACCGAGACTGACCGCCAGCATCCGAGAGAGCCAACCGGAACAAATGGTCGTCACAATGGCAATGGGTCGTAGAGGACACAGGCCTGAGGGGCTTAGAGCCCGAAAGACAAGCAGAATCAGCACCACGATCGAGAGAGATGAGTGAATTCTCAGTTGTGGGGAAATGGCCAAAAGGGAAGGGAAGAACCATACTAATCTGATAGGGTGAAGAGTTTCCCGCGGTCCCCCAGCCGGAAAAATGGGGGGTGGTACAGGGTCCCAAGATCTCCTCAGACTGCCCGCGGGCAGGAGAAAGGAGTGGGATTGCCTGGCAATGCTTGGTGCCAATGTTATGATTTATTTATTATGTAGGGAGCCCTGGAGGGTATCTCACGGGTGCAGGGAAACATGCTGAGCAGATGTAGCAGCAGGCTGGGCAGATGCACGCCATGCAAGCTTGGCGGCAGAGGCATTGGAGGCAGAGGCAGCTGCCAGTGATACACAACCCAGCCAGCAGTGCATCCACATGGAGTTTATTATAATAGAGAGATAAAGAGGCAGGGAGACAGAAAGAGGAAGACAGAGAGAGAGAGAGAGAGAGAGAGAGAGAGAGAGAGAGAGAGAAGTGCACACCTCATGGGAGGAAAAGTGGAAGGAGAGAGGAAGGGGCAGAGTT